AACATCCTCTTTGTTAAGGTGTAATGATAAGCGTTTCACATGCAAAGTTTAGAAAACGTTGAATTCATTATTTAGTGTAAATCTATAGTTTTATATAGTAAACTTGAGTTTAAAAACAATGATGTGTCAACTTTTTATTGGATAATGCAAATTCTATTATCATTACAATAAAAAGAATTAATTAATTCAAAGTCCACCACACCATGCATTACAGCTGATTAGAGCAAGAGTGTCACGCCCCGGACCTGCCGGACACGTCAACAACCCGCCGTACAATACGAATAGTCAACCGCAGTCCAACACATTCATACTATACAAGGCGTCTGGGATATCATTCACACATAGTACATCCATAAACAAACATAATGTAAAATATTCATTCAAAGCAGCGGAAACATTTAATATAAGTGTTCGTGCCACACTTTGGCAAACATGGGCATACAAGCCCCCAAATGGTTATTCAAAAATATAATATCCATTAGCATTAATTTAAATGTTTTTAAAACAGGAACGGAGCAAGCACGAACCACGTCTTCCTTCCTTGAATTCACCCGGAGCAACGGGCGCTGGTAGCAAGCTCAGCTCCTACCTGAAACTGTGAGGTGGCCTCCCCCGTGAAGGGGAGGTCAGTACTTGGAAGCATTTGACAAGTACAATGACAACTATACTAAGTATAACCAATGTTTCAATTTCCAAGACCCTCAATCTAGGGTGTTATTATCTCATGATTAACTTCATTCGTTTAGTGTCATTTCATCATTTCTTACCACGGTCTAGAGCTCAGCTCAATAATCACCGTTACCTACTACGGTCTAGAGCCCAGCTCAATAATCACCGTCATCTACATCGGTCTAGAGCCCAGCTCAATAATCACCGATAACTACTACGGTCTAGAGCCCAGCTCAATAATCACCGTTATCTACATCGGTCTAGAGCCCAGCTCAATAATCACCGATAACTATTACGGTCTAGAGCCCAGCTCAATAATCACCGTTATCTACATCGGTCTAGAGCCCAGCTCAATAATCACCGATTCTTTACAATTCGATTTCTTAGGATCCATTCATCCGTTATTCAACTACAATTCCAACTAATATTTCAATACTAGTTATTTACTCATTTCAATGTAATTCTTCATTCAATATGTAGTTTGACCTTAATATCAAATTATCACTTTTATTCTTTCATGGCTTCTTCTCATGAATTAAAAGCATACTTATCACAATGAAATTTATGGTTGATGCTACTATCATGCCATCATATTCATAACATATAAACATACACAATTTATTCAATAAATTTGTATATTATGCGAACTATACTTATAATCAGATCAATAGTAATTTCATTTAGGCATTAATAACCATTAATAATCCATGCAAATCACATTGTGTATTCATTTAGGAAATCTTATGAAATTAACCCAAAGGTTATAAGCAATATAGTCGGTCATCCTCACCTTAAGTGAGCTTAAGCGCGTTCTACGCTTCCCGGTTGAACTTTGACTAACTTTGACCAACTCCGGCAAACTTTGACCGACTCCGGCGAAACTCCGGCGAAGCTCAAAGATACTCTAAATCAAGTTCCTAACAAGGTTTTAACATCATAAAACCTTAATCAATACACATAACCTCTAAAAGGTTATTTTCCGGTGAACTTGTCGGTTTGGCTTCTAAATCCATTTTTTCGACATAGAACCACCTTCCAACCCCTTGTTCCACATTTATCAACATGTAGAACAATCCTAGGGTTCTTCATAATTTCTCAAATAATAATATATTCAAGAAAATAGGAGAAAAAGGTAAATGAAGTCATTACCTAGCCTTTCCTCAAGTTTTGTACACTTTTGGAGCTTAAACTTTTTCCTAGAGCTTCCTTCTTGTTGGAGCTTTCTTCAACAATGGAGAGGGAAAGTGGAGAGTTTCTTTGCTCTTGGTGGGTGAAGGTTGGCCGCAGGAAAATGAGGGAGAGGGGTGAGGGGGTGTTCTTTTGTCTAAATGAGCAAATGAGTGTGGATGGGATCCACCTCATTTTGTTTGATTCCCATTCTCTCAAATCACACTTCCTCCCACATGCCTCCCTAGCATACCAGCCGACCAAGGCCTTGAAAAAATAGGCTAAATTCGTGGGTTGGCCCCCACCCATGTGGGAGGTCAACCCTTTTTGTCCAGAAGTGTACAATCGGTCCCGAAAGTTGTATTTTTCGGACTGTTTTAAATATATTTTATTTTATCGGGTCAAATAAAATATATTATGTGTTCTTAATCATTATACCCTTTATAATGAATATACATTTCCCAACTTTAATTTATAGGTCTCTGAAATCCCATTTCGGGCCTTTATCGGTTAAATTACCAATACCGGAATTTTGGCCTCTTTTGGCCAATCGGCCAACTCTGGGCCTTTCCATTGCTCAAATGAGATATCCACCGCCATATAAATACTATACAGATCAAGATGAATAAAATATATGGTCCCGGGAATATCGGGCGGTCCCCGCTCCCGGTGTGTGCCCCACGTGCGAATTCACTATTCCCGCAAAAGAATTAATAAAAATTCATAACATCATAAACTCGTTAACCATTCAATAAGGTTAAATACAATATTCACTTAAAAGTAAATACACTTGGGGACGGTGTTACAAAGAGTAGGAGAAAAAATAATCTCTCTTTTTTAATGTGATATAACTTTTATATTTAAAATCCTATTTTTACAAAAAATATATCGAAACTCATAACTTTTTAATATCTTTCATATGACGCCAATATTATATAGGAAAAATGAAAATTAATAATCCAACCTTTTAGCGGTCTTCTTTTAATAGTCCGACCTTTTCATTATTCATGAATAATCCAACCTTTGCACCTCATCTTCATTCATTGGTCCCCGACCGGTTGATGACCTGCTATTCCGAGTTATTTTCTTATCTCTGCAAACTATTATACGATAAATTCCACCTTTCACAAAGATAATATTTTGCAAAGATAAGAAAATAACTTGGAATAATAGGTCATCAACCAGTCGGGGACCAGTGAATGAAGATGAGGTGCAAAGGTTGGATTATTCATGAATAACGAAAAGGTGGGACTATTAAAAGAAGACCGCTAAAAGGTTGGATTATTAGTTTCCATTTTCCCTATTATATATATATAAATATATACAAAAATATCTATTATTTTATATAGCAAAAACTGAGTTAAAAATTCTATTTATTGATAAAAAATCTATTGTGACTATTACTAAAAACTTAATTCATATAAGTTGACTCGGTTCATCATTGTTATTCACTACATGCATCACTGATCATTCTGAGAAGGGGAAGGAGAAAAAAAACTCTTACGTAGTATTTTAATGTATTACTATGTATAACTTATTTATCTGTACTCCAATTTTTACAAAAAAAATACATCAACATTTAAAACTTTTTATGATCTTTCATATGACACAAATTTTACAAAAATTATTCCAAAAATCATAAAGTTGTTTGATCTTTCATATGACAATAAATTGCACATAAATATAAATTATTTAAAATTTGAGTTACAAATCAATGATATATCAAATTTATAGTGACATTTGAGTTTAACTTTGCATTATGGGAAGTGCACATTTACACAGTAATCGCGTCACATATTAGGAATCCAATTTTCAATAAATATTTTAATCTATTATTTTATTTAGTAGAGCGGGGTTACAAACTGATGACATGTCACTATGTTATTGATTAACAAAAATCTATTGTCATTGTTATGAAAACATTTAATTAGTTCCAAACTAAAAGGAGATGGAATAGCTACGGAGTATAATGGAAAAGGGAGAAAAAAAGGAGGAGGAAAACGTTAAATAGCTAACACTTGACATTATGTAGACTACGCATTAAATCATTTAATTAGTTCGTACAAAGATGGAATGACTAACAGAAAGGTCTAGAAAAAAAGTAGGAGAAAAAACGTAAAGAAGTATAAGGAATAAGCAAACTTTGAATTGCAAACTTTGACCGGCACAAGGATTAAGCAATCACAATAAATGATGCTTACTTTTTACACTTTTTCCCATCATCCTAAAAGTAGATGTCTTTAAGTTGATGGAAAAAAAAGTAAAAGTAGGGGTAAATTTGTCACTTTATCTTTATTTACATACCTAAAATAAAAAGTGGAAAACCATTTTGGGACAACCAAAATAGGAAATTTTTCAAAACAAATTGGGACGGAGGGAGTATTATGTTAATTACTCTTATTCTTATTCTTATTTTTTTACTCTGTATTATTTATTCTTATTTTATTCAGAAAGGATCAAATAAAAAGTCAAATCAGATTAGCCCAAAACATTCAATGATTCAATCTAGATTAGATTAAAGGGAAAGTTCCCGAAATAGGACTAAAACAGTTTGAAAATTCCAAAATAGGACTGTCATGTTTTTTATTCCCAAAATAGGAGTAATTACTGCCAAGTTTGGAAAATACTGCCATGTTTGAAGTCTGGTATTGCCAAAACATGGCAGTAATTAGTCCTATTTTGGGAATAAAAACATGTCAGTCCTATTTTGGAATTTTGAAACCTTTTTAGTCCTATTTCGGGTAATATCCCTAGATTAAATCAGAAAAATTCAGACCAGATCAAAAAAATTCAAATCAGAAAGGTTCAAGCATAATTTATTATTTTTACTATTATGATGATTCCAAACTAATCTAAATATTTTGTAGGTTATTATTGTACGTTGCTTCTATTGAAATTAATTATGAATACTGCTATTATTATAGTCATTATTTGTAAATTATAAATATTCATAAAACATCACATATTATTACTATGGTTATTATCAATGATCATATTATTATTTAACTATATTATTATTATTATTAATGTATTTTTATTGTTACCGGTATTTATAAGTGACTATTACGTAGTATTATAAAAGGTGTAGGTTGTTGGCATCGATAATTTAATTATAATAGTAATACTACATGATAGAGTATATAGACTCGGATCCCCGGGTCTCACGACTATTGGGCCCGGACAGCGGCCCACATACGCTCAGTAGATAGCATTTATCTCATTGTACACTTTATTTATTCAGATGTATCCATTAGAATAGATTAGATATCATTTATTAGCCCTTTATTAGCCTTTTATTGTAACTGGGCCAGCCAGGCCCAAGCCTGGAAGCCCAACCCTCTTTTCTCCTATAAATACTCCCTATGGGAGCCATGTAAGGAAATGAGATAATTGATTGGAATTCATTATATATATCACTTTATCTCTCTAGCTCTCACTTCTCTCTAAGATTAAATAATCTATCATTTGGTGCTTTCATTGAGAGCTAGAATATAAAGGGGTCCTCCCCAACCAACAAAACTCCACGTGAATAAACAAAGGGGTACCCTTCGGCACCATTGGAGGCAGCATGCCACCTAGCTTCACGTAAATAAACGACGACCTTCGGCCATCATGCTGAATGTGTACTGTATCATATTATGATGCAATGGAGTAATGGACATATATATCCCTAGCTTCGGCCATGTGGAAATGAACATCCAGGCTACTGCCAAGTCCATCTCATCTCCTCGGTCAAGAGCTTGCTCAGCCAGTCAAAGTGAAATACAGAGGAAGGAACTGGAGGATGATACGATCCCCACCAGGCTTCCCTTCGTCCGCCCTCAACAGCTAAGTGTTCCACATCAGCCAAGGCAAACAAAAATGAGAACAACAAAGGGGAATGTTAGTCTCCAAGGCGTATCCGCTCAGAGTAACCCCAGCCGGCACACAGCGGCCAAATGCCACCACGGCTCAAAGTAAAGCAACTGGCAGCGGCCCCTTGTCTCCACCGGCGCTCAAACGCTCTTCATCGGCCAGAAACTGCATAAGCAACCGCCTCGGTCAACGCCACTTCAGCCGGCACCCGCTTCGGCAGCATACATCGTCGGCCGCATCTCATCGGCCCCGCCTCGGCTGAAGTGTACAAAAGGGAACCAAAAGAGGGGCGCCCCAATGGGGCACCTACGGCCAGAATTCCCGCTTCGGCCAAGCAATCTGGGATGGCAGGTCCTCGGCCAAAGACTGGCTCAACAGAGTACTCATGTGCATCATCGGTCACCTGTGCATCCCGTCGGCTAAACAATAAAGGGAAACTTCCCATCGGCCCACAACTGCGCGCTTCGGCCAGCAATTGCATTAGCCATCAACACTATCGGCGGCCAACACTTCATCCGCCAATACTTCATCGGCTGGGCACGCATCGGCCGGCAACACAATCAGCCAAGCAACCCATCAACACTTTCGGCGGACTACACTTCATTGGCCGGCACTTCATCGGCTGAGCACGCATGGTCCGGCACCGCATCGTCCGGCACCACATCGTCGGCACTGTATCGGCCGGCACCGCTTCAGCCGGCACCGCATCGGCCACAACAAGGCCACCCCGTCAAGCGACCGCATCGTCCGGACTGGACCGCATCGTCCGGGTTGGACCGCATCGGTCAAATGAGCGGACCATCGGCCGGAGAAGTCCCACCACGTTGTTCCTGGTTCCGAGTGGCCCCAAATCACGGACCCCTCGGCCGATTCGTGGTCTCTCGGCCAGGCGACGGTAGAGCAGCGGCGCACCACCTTGGCCTTGCGACGGCCAGAACAGACGAATGATTCCGGCAGGGACGACGGGAATCTCCTCGTCCCCAATAGACTCCAGCGACGCGGGGAGTCTCCTCGTCTCTGTTTCACGCTCCACTCCGTCGAACCAACTCCTCCCCTTCGGATGAAATCAACTTAGACAAGATCTGGGACCAGCATCCCAATTGGAGTAGCGGGCTGATTAAATGTGGGCCGACTATTAATCTCAAGGGCCCTAGATTCTTAAAGAGCAGGCCCAAATCTTATATTCCCTCTTTTAATTCTAAGCAAGGCAGGCTTCGGCCCAAATACAAGTAAGTGCCACAAAATTTTCCTCCTATTTTATGCATTAAATATGGAGCAAAAATAGTTTTATCACTACTCAAAAAAAAATATATATATAGTTTTACTACTATTCCGGAAAAAATAGTTTTACTACTATTCCAAAGAAAAAAAGAAAACAATAATAATAATTGCTACTATTATTATTATCTTCACCACCATTGCTAGCGGATTGAAATCCCCAATTGGTGTGGGCCAAAGCCTTAACCTTCCGAACATCTTTATTTGATGATTCGGATCATATTTGGGTCCATTGACCTACCATGGTCATCTTTATTTGATGACCCGGGCATCTAGAATGAGAGCCATCAACGGCCGCACACGACATTATGCCTAGAAGCGGTACACCTCATTCCCCTACACGCTAATTGCGTCATCCAAAAGCCGTTGCAATAAACAACGCACTCAAAGCCGTTGCAATAAACAACGCACCTAAAGCCGTCGCAATAAACGACGCACCCAAAGCCGTTGCAATACACAACGCACCTAAGGCCGTTGCGATCCACAACGCGCCTACAAAGCCGTTGCAATAAACAACGCACCTAAATATCGTATCGGCACAAGCGGTGAAACACCCAAATCGGCCGGCGATATGCAAGACGAAGGACCTGTGTGCATGGTCCAACGTCTTCAAACGGAGAAGCATACCGCGTCGTCCGCGCGGAAACCGCAGGACGACAGGCCTGAATTAAGGCTGAGGTTACAAAAACTCCACCCGTCAGTAAAATTTCGCTCAGGACCACAAAGGGCGGCCGTCAAAAGACGATGCCTAGTCCGGTCCCTCGTCGCCGATAGACGTGGAAAGGCAAAAAAGGATGCCACTGACACACCAAGCCGAGGGCGTATTTACTCCCTCGCACTAACACACGCGAAAAGCGTAGCGGACAAAATACCGCACATGGACGAAGGGACAGTAACCCTTCGGCCATCCAAAAAAAAAAAAAAAGAGGGAAGCCGACGGACCGCGCACTTGCCGGCCTCGAGCAATAAAAATAAATAAATTCCCCAAACTTATTATTCATCTCAAGACCGGCTCCCAATGCCGAAGCTCTTGCTCCATCATCTCATGAACGGCCTCCCCAACACCGTCATACTTTTATATGACGATCGGCTTCATCATCGCCTCGTCATCATTATCCGGATCGGCTCCTCATCGTCATCCGCACATCACGACCGGCCTCCCAGCCTTGGCGTGATTATTTCTCCTCAAGACCGGCTTCTCATTGCCAAGTGTCTTGAGTTGGCAATCGGGCTCGCCGTCCCTTCCTGGATGGCGACCGTTGCCTCTATATGACGATCGGCCTTCACATCGCCTCGTCATCATATGTTGGACCGGCTCATTATCGCCGTCGTCCTTACATCGCGTCCAGCCTCTCGGCTAAGGCGTGATACCTTATCTCAAGACCGGTCTTAGTCATCCCTTCCCGGATGGCGACCGTTGCTTGGATCTTCGGATCGGCTCATCATCATCGCCATCCGCACATCACGATCGGCCCCCCGGCCTCGACGTGATGATCTAGCTCAAGACCGGCTCCCTTAGCGCCAAGTGTCTTGAGCTAGCGACTGGGCTTGCTATTCCCTTCCGGGATAGCAACCGTTGCCTCTACATGACGATCGGCTCATCTCCGCCTCGTCATCATCATTATTCGGATCGGCTCATCATCATCGCCATCCGCACATCACGACCGGCCTCCCAGCCTTGGTGTGATTATTCCTTCTCAAGACCGGCTTCTCATCGCCAAGCGTCTTGAGTTGGCAATCGGGCTCGCCGTCCCTTCCTGGATGGTGACCGTTGCCTCTACATGACGATCGGCCTTATCATTGCCTCGTCATCATATCTCGGACATGCTCCTCAGCATCTTTGTCCTCACATCACGATCGGGCCCTTCGGCCACGACGTAATGCTTTATCTCAAGACCGGCTCCCTCAGCGCCGAGTGTCTTGATCTAGCGATTGGGCTTGCTATTCCCTTCCGGGATAGCAACCGTCGCCTCTACATGGCGATTGGCCTATCATTGCCTCGTCATCATACATTGGACCGGCTTATCATAGTCGTCATCCTCGCATCGCAGCCGGCCTCTCGGCCAAGGCGCGGTACCTTATATCAAGACTGGTCTTAGCCATTCCTTTACTGGGTGGCGACCATTGCATGGATTTTTGGGTCGGCCCCTCAGTGCCGATCATGGCAGGCCCTCGGCCTCGACGTGATCATATTCCCCAAGACCGGTCTCAGTCATTCCTTCATCGGATGGCGACCGTTGCTTGGACGTTTGGCTCGGCCTCATAGTGCTGACGACCTCGCATCACGATCGGCCCCCCGGCCTCGACGTGATGCCCTATCTCAACACCGGCTTTGTCAGCGCCAAGTGTGTTGAGCTAGCGATCGGGCTCCCCATCCCTTCCGGGATGGTGACCGTCGCCTCTACATGACGACCGGCTCATCTCTGCCTCGTCGTCATTATTCGGATCGGCTACCCATTATCGCCATCCTCATGTCACGACCGCCGCCCCGGCCTCGGCGTGATGATCTATCTCAACACCGGCTTCATCAGCGCCGAGTGTGTTGAGCTAGCGATCAGGCTCGCCATCCCTTCCTGGATGGTGACTATCGCCCCTACATGGCGACCGGCTTATCATCGCCTCGTCATTGTTATTTTGGATCGGCTCCCTATCACGGCCGTCCTCACATCACAATCGGCCCCTAGGCCACGATGTGATGTCCTATCTCCGAGACCGGCCTCTCATTGCCGAATGTCTTGGGTTAGCGATCGGGCTCGCCATCCCCTCCTGGATGGCGACCGTTGCCTATATATGATGATCGGCTCAGCATTGCCTCGTCATCGTATCATCAGACAGGCGTCCCACGCCCCGTCCTCATGTTCAGACAGGCGTCCAACGCCTCGTCCGCATATATTCAGACAGGCGTCCAACGCCTTGTCCCCACATTCAGACAGGCGTCCAACGCCTCGTCCTCATATTCAGACAGGCGCCCAGCGCCTCATCCTCATATTCAGACAGGCGTCCAACGCCTCGTCCTCATGTTCGGATCTAGCAAACATCTTGCGGTCTCCGACTCAGAGACTAAAGGATCTCAGATCTCATCTATAGGCCCCTCGGCCACATCTTGCTCTAGCATCTTTATTTGATGACGAAGGGCTCTCATACAGGCCCATCGGCCATATATCTTGCTCTGTCATCTTTATTTGATAACGAGAAGCTCATCTATAGGCCCCTCGGCCATATACCGCTCTGTCATCTTTATTTGATGACGAAGAGCTCATCTACAGGCCCATCGGCCATATACCGCTCTGTCATCTTTATTTGATGACGAGGAGCTCATCTACAGGCCCATCGGCCATATATTATTCTGTCATCTTTATTTGATGGCGAAGAGCTCATCTACAGGCCCATCGGCCATATATTATTCTGTCATCTTTGTTTGATGACGAAGAGCTCATCTACAGGCCCATCGGCCATATATTATTCTGTCATCTTTGTTTGATGACGAAGAGCTCATCTACAGGCCCATCGGCCACATATCGTTCTGTCATCTTTATTTGATGACGAGGAACTCATCTATAGGCCCCTGAGCCATATCTCGCCCCGTCGTCTTTATTTGACGACGTGGAGCTCTTATGCAGGCCCCTCGGCCATACATCGCCCCGTCGTCTTTATTTGACGATGTGGAGCTCTTATCCAGGCCCCTCGGCCACACATCGCCCCTTCGTCTTTATTTGACGACGTGGAGCTCTCATATATGCCTCTCGGCCACTACTCCCAGTCATCTTTATTTGATGACGTGGAGCTCACATCGGCCCATCGGCCTCATATTCTGGTCATCTTTATTTGATGAACCAGACATCATATTATGGACGGTCGCTCGACCCATCCCTTAGTCATCTTTATTTGATGACTAGGACTACTGATCATGACGAGCTACCCACATCTATGGATCGGCCTCTGCCATCCCCTCGCTGCAGCTCCACCTTTAGGCCGAAGGGCTCGCACCTTTTGTTTCGTTCTGGGGGCATCCGATGTACTCTTTTTCCCTCATTAGGATTTTTTCCCACAGGGTTTTTCCTAATGAGGTTTTTAACGAGGCATCTCCCCATTGTGGATTAAAAGGTGTCAACCCTCGGCCCCCTGTTGCAGACATCATCAGACATGCATTACTCTACTCCTCTTCACCTCGTTACACTCGCCTCAAGGAGTGGGGGACTGGGAGAGCGGGGGACTTAGTGCCTTCGCTACCAAAGAAGCAGAAATTCAAAATTTTTGCAAGGATTGCCACACGCACCGACGACATCATCATCTCACATACATATTCAGCTGCCACATCGGCCAGTACATATACATAGCTCCCCGGCCTCAGGACCGGTGGTGATGGTCTCTAGCCTGCGACCTTCGGCTGAGGATTTTCCCACAGGGTTGCCTCAGCCAGGGCTCACCAGTGGGATCGGATCATCGGCTTGGGAATCCGGGCGGGGCGCTTCGGTGACGACAGCGGTTTACTCACCAGACGACGACAGATCAGCACATAGTTCTACTCTCTTTCGCCTCGAGTACTCTCGACTCAGAGAGTGGGGGACTCCTGATAGAGTATATAGACTCGGACCCCCGGGTCTCACGACTATTGGGCCCGGACAGCGGCCCACATACGCTCAGTAGATAGCATTTATCTCATTGTACACTTTATTTAGTCAGATGTATCCATTAGAATAGATTAGATGTCATTTATTAGCCCTTTATTAGCCTTTTATTGTAACTGGGCCAGCCAGGCCCAAGCCTGGAAGCCCAACCCTCGTTTCTCCTATAAATACTCCCTATGGGAGCCATGTAAGGAAATGAGATAATTGATTGGAATTCATTATATATATCACTTTATCTCTCTAGCTCTCACTTCTCTCTAAGATTAAATAATCTATCACTACATATTATAATGCTATTTATAACACTTCTTATGATAATCATAACTATAAAAATAAGGATAACTATAACGATAATAAAATGATATTGTAATTGTAGTTATTGTTAAAATGGTAATTATAAATATAATTATAATTATAATTATAGTTATAATGATAATTTCAATCATAAATATGATTATAATAATGACAATGATAATCATAATAGTAACTTTATAATACTAATAAAGACTCAATCACATAATAAATATTTAGATCAGATCGGAATGATTCAGATCAGATCAAAATCACAAACACTGATACCAGATCAGAAAGATTCATACTGCGGGATCATACAAGATTATCAATTTACCAGACTATATCATAAATATTCATATCCGGAGAATATAACAACTTCTTCATGTCAACCATATTATAAAAGTCTGCACTTTTCCATATTATACTTTTATGAGCACGAAATTTTCACACGAAATTTTCACAAAGAACATTTTCATATCATTTTCATATTATCATTACTACTGTATATAAATATCACTACAAAAAAACTACGGGATTGTCACGGAATTTGGCACGGATTTACCGATCTTTCGTGCCAAATAGTTCGTGCAAAGTGTTTTTGGCACAGATTTGGCGTATCCCTGCCAAAATCCTTGTCACATCCCTGCCAAAATCCCTGCCAATCTTGTGTTTTTTTGTAGTGTATATATAATCGGTCAAAGTTCAACACCATTGACTTAAAATAGTGTTTGGTTAAATATATAGCGACAAAGGGAGGAAAAAAATCGATTATAGCCAAAAAAAATTGATCACATCATATGAATAATTCACAATGCTTATCAATATTTGTCACCTCACCCATATCAAATTAACACTACCGGGGCATGCCCCGGGTGTTACATTAGTTATACTACGCATATAGCACTTTTTAAAACATTTGCAATGTATAGTACAAATTTCTTTGGAAAAGAGTGATAAAATACTTAATACTTCGTACGAAGTATACATATGATATATTTCCTCCCTTTGTAATAGTTAGAACATTTTAATTTTTACGTCATTCGCACACCTACTTCGATCATGATTTTCTACTAATTAATATACATACAATCAAATTATTATATATTCCGTACAAAATATTATAACATTTCCCTTATCGTGAATTTCCAAAAAATTACTACTTCTACCCTCCTAAGATTGAGACAAAGGAGAGTGGTGCAGTTTTTTTAAAAATAAAGTTATGTAGTTGATAATGAATTAACAAAGTGAGAAAGCAAGAATGAATTATAGACACACAAATATTACCAAATATGGTATGAGACAAATTTAGTGGGACAAACGAAAAATGAAAAATGAAACAATTATAGTGGGACGGATGAAGTAATTTTTTATAATATTTGTTATACATAATTAAATATAGTTACAATCAAAATTGTATGTTGGCAAATGTGAGAGTCAAATTGTAGCAATTAAAAAGAATGAAGGTAGTATAATACGGACTAACTAAATTGTTGTATAAGAGTGTTAATAATTTTTTTATGTATAAATAGGAGCGACTAAGGCAAGTTTTTGCCCATGTTTTTTAAAAGCACTTTTGAGCTTTTCCATTGAAATAGGCTAAAATGGTGTTTGTATTGACATTTTTTGTTTTAATTTCAAACACTACCAACTTTTACTGCAAAATATCAATTTTGAAAAGCACAAACAAATACAAACACTTTCTAAGACGTACAACCGATAAGTTTAAGACGTGACATATAAAATAGTGGCATTGAAGTTTTTTTCAAAGACTAAAATGGGTTGATGTGAATACAATAATGACATTTTGTCCTTCATTCCCCGGGGTGCACCCTATATAAACTATCCCTAATTTGTTTTATCATTCACCCCCTCTCTCAATCATATGAATCATTCTTTTCTATTATTCTCTCATTTTCTTTCTTTTTACCTTCTATTCATACTCTATCTCCACCATCATCTTCCATCAACGTCTTCATATCTATTTTTGTCTGTACTCCGGAAAAAATTAATGTTTGAGAGTCAACGGAAAGTCTCCGGAAAACTATAATTATATGACCGCTGATTTATTAATCTGTGTGGCATATAAAATATTGCATTCCTCATATTGAATAATGATATAACTTGTTTATAGCGACAAAGAAATCTGAAAACTTGTAGGATTTTTTAATATTTCGCCACAGATAAAAAAGTATGTATACAAAGTACAAACATAGATTTTCTTTGGGTGTCAGTGTACACAGACAAAAAGGTTGCAGAGACGTAAGAGTTAGATTGCGCAGAAACCAATGTCTATGTACATAGACAAAAATTATACACACACATTTTTTGTTTGCATATCGAGAACTAATTAATGTCAGTATACACACAAGACGATTTTCATGCAACCTAAACCTAGGTTTTAGACTGATTGCAATGGGGGGTGAAAAATCCAAATATGAGGTTTTCACTCCAAAACTGCTGCAATCGGACGAAAATTCCGTATATGGAGGGGCTGGCGGGAGTTGCTAGAACGGAGGGGAGTGATATATAGGAGGGCAATTGACTCTTGTGGGCCAGTGACATGTGGAGAGGAGGAAATGCAGTTGTCTTGGACTGACATGCGCTGAGAAGAAACGAATGGTGGAGCTTTATGCGTGGGTTTTGGCAGTAGCCTTGCGAGTGGAATGGTCTCCACTTATTTCAGCCATTCTGATTTGCAGCTGGGTTTTTATTTCAGAAAGAGCGTTTAGCATTTTACAAATGCGATGGGCTATTGTCACCTATGTAGCACCGATACCGGTACGCGGAAACGCGGAAACGCGGAAACGGGTACGGGGATACGTCAAAACCAAAAAAGGTAGGATACGAATACGGGGCCATATTTATAAATATTAAAAGTTATGGGGGTGTATTTACAAATACTAAAAGTTATAGGGGTCTATTTATAAATATTAAAAATAGATTTTTTTTAATATATATATATATATACATATAATATCCTATGATGTCTACCTATTCATTGCTTTGAAGCATTTTCCTTTTTCAAGATACTTAGTAATAAATTCATAATATTTCTCATATACACTAGTCATCTCAAAATATAAATATAGTCAATAAGTCATTAATTTAAAATGAGAAATAAGTCAAACAACTACAATCTTGAAATTAAAAGTGCAAGTATCCAATTCGGAGTATGAGTTAATGACTTAATTCGGATATAGCCATATAGGCCCATTATTTGATTACCAAGTAAAATGTAGTTTTAGATTTTCTTTTTTTTTAGAATTTTATTAAGTAAATTTTGGGTTTTTTTAAAAAGTTGATACGGGTATCCGTCAGGATACGAGTATCGGAAACTTTCAAAAAATTACAAAAAAAATGGAAACTTTTAAAAATTGCAGATACGGCCCGGGAACGTACGGTACGGGTATCCTAGAGTATCGGATACGGGAACGTATCGGATACGCCGATACGCTACCTTAGCGAAGTATCCGTGCTTCATAGATTGTCACTACTAGAAATCTAGAATAATAGCTATTTGTTGCGGTCATTTTTGCCTTATTTTTTACATCGAAATGTTTGATTTTTTAAACAATAATTATTGGTCAAAATAAAATTATCACATAAATGATGTGTAATAAAATAACTAAGGATTTATGCATTTAATAAAAACATGCGGAGTGAATAGATTGGCGGTGCTGGGTTGCAGAGAAAAACTGAATTGACTGAGTGAATACATATAAACTGGAGGGGGGGGGTTAGATTTGTTGACGGGCTGACTTGCGGTTAGCCTTGGGATCCTACAGAATTGTCCATATATACAGAAATTCTATCTGCATAGACACACAAGTGAATCAAAGGCATTCAAAGATGTACTACGTATATCGTTCTTATTTCTAGGACTGGAACTTTGGAACCAAGAACCAGAGAACCGAACCGGACCGAACCGTTATGACCCGGTTCAGTTCGCTTCCATAATTTATTTGTTATTTGTTAATGGTTCGATTCCTATTTTCTATGAACGGTTCGGTTCTCGGTTCCTGAAAAAAATATGCACATGGAACCGTTGAGGAACCGTTATATATAATAATTGAAATTATATATATTTCTTATTAGTATATATATTTACTTATCCATTTTTATATTATGTTCACGATTATAGTTAAGTTATTTAAGTATTTAAAATTATTTTTCATTTTAACGGGTTCTCTTGAGCTTCTTTAGTGAATATCTTGTTTTGTTTTATTTACTAAATTTTGTGGTTTGTTATGTATTTATGTTTTAAACTCAACTTTTGAAGTTTGAAATAATGTTCAACATATTTGTATTGTAATTTCAAACGTTGAATGTCTTTTTGACACAAATTTAAGGGGTTTTTATTTGAATATTACTAATTTTGAACCAATTACCAAAAAAGTGAACACTTTTGAAAAGGGGCAAAAAAGTGATCAAGAAGGTCAGATCAATGGCATTCCCAAATTTTAATGTCACTATCCTGTTTTAATGTCACTATCAAATGTCACTGCTGTCACCGCTCGTGTCACTGTAGCCACCGCTCATGTCACTGTAGCCACCGCCCATGTCACTAAAGCCGCCGCTTGTGTCACAGTAAACACCGTCCTTGTCACTGTAATCACCGCCCGTGTCACTATAGCCACCGCTCGTGTCACTAACGCCGTGAAACATGTCACTATGGTCGTTTTCGTTTAGCGACGCGGTCCACCTTAGACCCCGCCAGTTAAGTCACCACCACCACAGCCGCCCGGCATAACGGGGGTTGTTCCCGCAACACCTCGCCTCCCTGCCCTACCCCACTACCATCACCACAGCCATGCACGGCTGCACCACCCCATCAACCCAACACAGCCCCAGCCCCAACCCTGTCCTCATCAGTCATCACCCCAGCCCCCAGCCCCACAAGCAGTGCCCCATCCCCCATCAGCCCTGCCCCACATGCCACACCACCAGACCTGCCCCAGCCCTCAACCCCCAAAACCAACCGACAGTCCCCAACCCTAGCCCCAACCGCCATCCCCAACGGCAATCCCAAACCTCCGCCAATAACTCTATTCGCTGCCCTATGACCCAAATCGCAGATCTGAAAATCCAGGGAGAGGACAGAAGTGAAAGAAACAATCCATGTGCGAAGGGCGGCGACAGAGACGCTGTCTGGGCGAGGACGACGAAGTCCAGGGCGGCGGAGGTGGCGATCCGTCTGCTCTGTCCATGGTAGCAGCAGATCTCAAGGCGGCGACTTTGTCCTCCATGGCGACAGCAGAGCTTACAGGCGAGATGCAAGATGGTGATTGGCGCTGCTACATCGAAGCTTTCTCCGTCTATGGGATTCAATTCGTTCGTAGGAGGAATGAAGAAGGGGAGCCGGCGATTTTGAGAAGAAGGGGGAGCAGACAATTTGAGAAGAAGGGGAACAGACAAGTTTTTAGAAGAGGGGGAAGTCACTTTTCAGTAAAAAAGAAATCCAATCACATTTATGCCTAATAGAAGTTGTGAGGGCATAGTCATACTTGTGCCATAATTTCCAAATTTAACGGTGATTTGAAAAAAAAAAATTAAAGACTAAGAATCGTTAAATGACAAGAACCGAACCGGTAAGAATGGTTCGGTTTCTTATCGGTTCTACGGAGTATAAAATAATTTATAAGAACCGAACCGTTAATAAAATTTCATATTTTCAAACGGTTTCACACGTTTTGCGTAGGAACCGAACCGGTCCGAACCGAACCGTTTTGCGTAGGAACCGGTCCCAGACCTACTTATTTCCATGTTGTTTGACACCTAAACCCCTGTAGTCCCCATAGTTCCTTTTCGTCCACGTGCCATGGTCAGAAAATTCGAGTGTCTGCTCACTGTTAGCTCAGCGCAGCTCCTGCTGCTCTCTTCAATTAGTAGAAGAGGAACAAATTGATTTTTCTTGGAAATGCCCCGAAACAAAGTCAAATCAAATGAATATAGGGTTAACCATATAGGGTTACTTCTGTGAAAACTATTTTTTTTGTCTATGAAGTACAAAATATGTTTTGAATCCCTTCACAGACATATTTTGTGTGTAAAAGTATTTACAGACAAAAAAAATAACTTCACGAACATGGGTGGGTATAAAAATGAGTACAAACGTCATTTTCCTAGGTTAATGCCTTTATTTACTGCTCCCATAGTCCTATATTTATCAATAGAACGTTTCGTATAATCGAATGGGAAAATGGAAACTAATAATCCAACATTTTAGCGGTCTTCTTTCAATAATCCCACCTTTTGATTATTCATGAATAATCCAACCTTTGCACCTCATTTTCATTCACTGGTCCCTGACCGGTTGATGACCTGCTATTCCAAGCTATTTTCTTATCTTTGCAAATCATTATACCATAAATCTCATCTTTCACAAAGATAATATTTTGGAAAGATAAGAAAATAACTTAGAATAGTAGGTCATTAACCGACCAGGGACCAATGAATGAAGATGAGGTGCAAAGGTTGGATTATTCATGAATAATCAAAAGGTGAGATTATTGAAAGAAGACCGCTAAAAGGTTGGATTATTAGTTTCCATTTTCCCTAATCGAATCCAGTTTTTAATTTTTATTTACGTCGGCTATGTGGTTCGGGTTACGAAGACGGTCATGAATTTTAAAGTATAAAACTAAATTCTGGATGTTTGGTTTGCTTGGCGGCTCCTGACTTCTCGCACTTCAGAAATCGGTTGGTTCTGGAGTGTCATTTTAACCGCCTCTGTTTATGCCTTTGCCAGAAAGTTCTGTGTATTAGTTTTTTTTTTATTGTGGTTGAAAATGGCTGAACTCCTCTCTTCCTCTCGTTTCGAAATCTTTTATTGAATGTTACTCAGTAACTGTTTGATTTGTGGGATTGCAGGCGTTGAGTATTTCAAATATAGGATTGGATAATTTTCAGGGAAATCCAGATAGCCCCAATTTACCTGGGGTAGATGAACTTGATGTTAAGATATTGGGTTATTAGGCTGTGGATGGATTTCAGGGACAGAATACTCTATATGAGACAGCTGAGAGTTTCCTAGCATTCACAAGTTTGTTTCTTGTGGAACTTTTTTAAGCTGGGCTGGAAGCAGAGAAAGGTAATTGCAGGTTACTGTCAGATGGAAGGTGATAAAGCGTTGTTTGATGGCACAAAGTGCTCAATTGCAGAAGATTCATTCAATGCCACTGCTATGGATTTTTTGAATTTTGATGAATATGCGGGATGGTGCAACAGTCCTCAAACGTTGGCCTCCTATTCATTTTCACCACATACTCCAGTAGGATGCGCACCTTTTGACGGTTTAAATTATCCTGAACAGAACAGTGGTGTTTTCTCAATGATGGATGCTGCTGATATCACAGACAGTATAGACGATGAGGACGATGAAATGATTTTTCAACAGAATGATCAATTACACTCTTCCATTAGTTCCATTGATGTAATTGGTAATACTTGGAGGATTCAAGGCCATGAGAGTGCCATTGAGGACTTAGGAAATCCTATGATCCCAAAACCACCTTCTGAACCTCTTCCAGTAAGAATGCTTACTGCATTGGGATTATTTAAAGAGTCATCATCAGGTGGAGGCATATTGGCCCAAGTCTGGTTTCCAGTGAAAAGGGGTGATAAGTACTTGCTAAGCACTCATGAGCAGCCATATCTACTTGACCATGCTCTTGCTGGATATCGTGAGGTGTCAAGTAATTTCACTTTTGACGCAGTCACCAAACCAGGCTCTTCCCCAGGACTTCCTGGCCGCGTATTCTCTTCAAGGATTCCAGAGTGGACATCAAATATTGCATACTATAGGGAGGCTGAATATCTGCGCATACATCATGCAGTTAACCATGACATACGTGGCTGCATTGCGTTACCCGTTTTCGAGGACGATCCAAGTGAAAAACCATGTTGTGCTGTACTTGAAGTTATCACCATGAAGGAGAAACCCGATTTTAATTCCGAAATTGAAAAGGTTTGCCGTGCGCTACAGGTTAGTTACTTTATACGAGTAGGTCTTTTCATATACTTTTACATATTTAATCCTACATTCCCATGAATATGCAAGTTTATTTAGTATACCTCCTTTCATCTTGCTTCGGGTAAAGGTAAATGTCAAATACTAAATTCTCCTATTTGAGACATGTGAGCTGTGTTTGAATCCGGAAGTCCTAAGGAATGGAAAGAAGACAATAAAGAAAATGCAAAGAAAAGTGAAATTTGATTAATGTTTTTAAATATAGATTGTTACTTAAATATTAAGTTGTGCTATATAAAAACCCATTGGATAGAACCAACATAGTTACAATCAACTGGCCAGTTGCATGTTGGTAATTGTGTTTCTAATTGGGGAGTTGCATGTGGTAACATTTATGTCCTAAGATTAAAAATTAGCATGTCACATTTACATCCAATGTGAATTCAATTAAGTATATAATAATATAAATTAATGAAGTAATGAATTTGAACATATAATAATAGAAACTAACGGAGTAATGAATTTGAGCAAGTCCTAAAAACATTATCGAGTTTAAACCAATAAATTATTTTTCGTCACACAACATTTTCTTGCAAATATATCCTATATTTTCCTTCAATTTTTCTCTCCTTAGCATTTCCGAGTTCCAAACAGACCCTTGACGTCTCATAGAAAGATTCCAAACTATGGGAGTTGTTTGCAAACAAAGGAGTAATAATGAATTGTAAATCATGATGCACTGACGCTGGAGACAGGAGGGAGAATTTGTGGCTAGGGGAAGTAGTGCTTCTAGAGGGTTTGTATCTGTATAGTTATAGTTTGCATGGGCACCCTCCTTTTATTTCATAGAAAAGGTGTAATTTCTCTATCTGGCTATTTACAGGCAGTGAATTTGAGGAGCATTGCATCTCCACGTCTCTATCCTCAGGTTCCCCCCTAAATATATGTGGCTTTGACATGCATCTGTAAAAACAAAAAAAACCATCAGGCTTGATTTAATTTTTCACAAAAGTTTTCTTGTCTAGGCTTCTTATTCTGTTCGTGCTTGATTGCAGTGCCTTTCAACAAATCAAAAATCTGCTTTAGCTGAGATAACTGATGTTATGCGAGCTGTATGTCATGCACATAGACTACCACTCGCCCTCACATGGATTCCTTGTATTTATACAGGAGGAGACAATGATGAAATTAGAAGGGTGCGATGTAAAGGATGCAGCTCGGACTCAATTGAGAAAAGCATTCTTTGTATTGAGAGTAGTGCTAGCTATATCAGTGACAAGGAGATGCTAGGATTTGTGCAGGCATGCATGGAACATTACCTTGAGGAAGGACAAGGAATTGCTGGGAAAGCTCTTCAGTCCAATCACCCCTTTTTTTATCCGGATGTGAAGGAATACCATATAAGCGAGTATCCACTCGTTCATCATGCACGGAAGTTTGGCCTTAATGCCGCTGTTGCCATTAGGTTATGCAGTACTTTCACCGGGAATGATGATTATATTTTGGAGTTTTTTCTTCCTCTTGATATGAAGGGAAGTACTGAACAACAACTCCTCTTAAATAACTTATCCGGTACCATGCAAAGGATTTGTAAGACATTGAGGATAGTCTCTGATGCAGAACTCAGGAATGGAGACGGTTCCAAGTGTGGGCCAGGGAATGCATCTTCTCCAAACATACCACCAATTTCATTGGCACGATGCTCACGACAATCACTTCTAGATAGCACCTTGGATCGTACGGATGAGGTGCATTTGAATGTATCTGCTTCAGAGAGTCCTGGAATGGGTCCTAACAGTGCTCAACAAGAGGTACACGTTTCATTGTTTTTTTTCCCTTACATCTATGTGGATCACTTTGGTGTAAGTTTGTAGTATACGCCTTTCTTGGACCTACAGTTCACCAAATAACAGCAACCCCACCTGAAAAATAAATCCCTATATGTGCTAAAAAACCCACCTTTTTCAATGATTTGTTTTTATCTAAGAAGGCAGAGCCCACACCACTTTTTCCCATTACAATATGACATATTTTATGTTTCTTATTCAATTCATTCTGTTTATGTCTCGCATTGTAACTGTGCCTCCATTGAATTGCCTCCATAGAAGACTGGATCAAGAAGGCAGATGGAGAAAAAGCGAAGTACGGCAGAGAAGTATGTTAGCTTAAGTGTTCTTCAGCAGCATTTCTCTGGGAGTCTCAGGGATGCTGCTAGAGCCATTGGTGGTAAGTGTTTGCACAATTATTTTTTTTGCCCTCTACTTGAGTACCTGACATTGAGGTTTTAGCTGAAGAGTTTGTCATAACAAACTATCAATAAGATTTTCCATTACTCTTTCAATCAGGCTACGGTTTTATGTTAACTTTTTATGAGGGGGTCCCAAGTCCTAATATTACATGAGAATTGAGAGCCAATCTTATCCGTAATCATGATATGGGCTCCTATGAGAAAATAATGGGATGTGAGGATATTTGACCTTAAGAAAAAAAACTGTATAGTCCAGACGAGTTATTGGACTGTAAATGGTGTGTGCCTCTTTAAGATGAAAAAAACTAAAAATTGCAACATCTGCTATTTAAATGGTATAGTCCAGACGAGCTTATTATTAACTTGTTCAATTGTGTGTTCTTATAAGTCTTAGTAAGAAAACAATTAAAGAATGATCTTTAACTTAAGGGAGAAAAGTGTTATATAATTGACTAAAACTTCAGCTGTAAATTGGCCAAATCTCTCCAATTTTGTGTTATCTGTGAGGATGATGTATTAACTTAATCAATTGTGTGTTCTTGTAGTGTGTCCAACAACATTGAAACGGATATGTAGACAACACGGTATATCAAGATGGCCATCCCGCAAGATAAACAAAGTAAACCGCTCTTTAAAGAAAATACAAACTGTACTCGAATCTGTCCAAGGTGTGGAAGGAGGACTAAAATTTGATCCAAGCAGTGGGGGGCTGCTAGCTGCTGGTTCAATCCTTAAAGATTTTGGCGCACCAAAAGGTGTTCTCTTTCCCTGCAAGAATGTTCCTACCAAAGAAAAGGAGTCCCTTTTCCTGCCGGATGCATCATCCCCCGCTTCCCGCATTGGTGATGGAAGTCCTGCAACAAAAATGGAAGCAGGCCCCATTGTGGAAGGAAACAAGCTACATATTCTCAGTCCAAGCTCTTGTAAGGGTGAGCATAGATCTACTATTCCGTTGTCAGAGTGTTGCCATGACTCCAAATTGACCGTTTCACAAGATGCTGGCTTGAACACCATAGCATGGACTGGTTTGGGAAACACATCCTTAGATTCTTTGCTCATCAGAGAAAGAAGCAAATGTAAATGGTCCAAAAAGTCGAGCTCCATTGGTCTCTGCAATGAAACACAGACAAAGATGATGCACATTGTGACTGGAGAGCATAACCAACCAGCTTCTTCAAGCATGACAGACTCTTCAAATGGATCAGGGCCGGTGATGAACGGGTGTTGCTCAAGCTCACAAAGCTTTGGTGAACAGAAGCACTGGAAAGCTGAGGTGAATTGTGGGGATAGTGGTTCCAGAATTACAGTGAAAGCTACATACAAAGAAGACACAGTCCGTTTTAAGTTTGAGAGTTCAATAGGGTGTTCCCGAATCTATGAAGAAGTTGGTAGGAGGTTTGGGCTGCAGAGTGGGACATTCCAGCTCAAGTATCTTGATGATGAAGAGGAGTGGGTGATGCTGGTAAATGACGCTGATTTGCGGGAGTGTGTGGAGATCATGGATTACCAAGGCACTCACTATGTCAGGTTTCTTGTCCGCGATTCATCCTGTGCTATGGGTAGTTCTGGTAGCAGCAACTGCCTTTTGGGAACTGCTTCTTAAATGAAGAAATTCTGTAGAAGATAGTGTAAACTTTGAAAGATCCTGATTTCAATGCTTGAAGAATTGGGTTCACCCGGGTTTCTTTTAGATATCTTATAGAATTTAAATGCTTAAAGCCTTAAATGAGTTCAGTCCCCTATATGTTTCTTGACACACAAATAAAGTTAATAAGCCACTTTTGTAATTTGTAAAATAGATTTCAACCAGGATACTGGGAGCATTTAGCATGTAGAACATCTTTCCAACAAACTATACGGATCTTTCATAGTTATATTAATTCATTTTTTTCTATAATTATTATATACTACCACTTTGTCGTAAGTGTATCTTTTACTTGAAATTTTTTAATCGGCATGATACATGTCTGGATTATGTGTGTTTTATAATTATGTGTGTTTTGCATTCTATATAAGTTTGAACTGATGTATTTAAGTATGGCCTGTAACTGAAACTAATTCAAAAATATTCTTATTCTTACAATAGGGTATTATGATCGGATCGTAACGACTATTTAGACTGGATCCGGAGCCTCTATCTCACTTTAGAACAAGGTAGAGTGCCTTGCTACTTCACAGCCGTCCGATCGCAATTTCAACGGCCGGAGATGTTGGGGTCCACACTTTCTCTACTCGAGGTTGTCCTCTCCGCTGCCCGTACGACAGATGCGCAAGGGACCCTGCCGTGCGGCAGAGGATCCTGATCCATTTATTCTAGACCTGAACCACTTTTGGACTCGAAAAAAACCTTACTCGGAAATTCGGATTTTGGTTCTGACTTCCGAGAAAGGGGATTTGGGATTGGGAACCGGTTGCTCCCAAACCAGATAAGAATATGATAGTTTATTAACCCAACTAGTATGATATCTAATATGATACTCCGTAGTTTATTAACCCAACTAGTTTGCTTCAACAAAAAGAATATAATACCTCCAACTCTCCAACACCACATTAACTACTAGATTTAACCCAACTAGTGTGTATTCTCACAGAAAAGTACTCAAAACACAAAATGCAGTAAAAAAAACAAGTTGAAAGAACACACAAATTACATGTTTTTCTCTTGATTGCTTTGTTTAACTAAACATGTCAAGAGGTGCCTGTTGTGTTGGCTAATGCAGATAAGGCATAATTCAAGGTTTGTGGAATATTTTCCCAGCGATAATGGCAGCATCTATGACATCACTGATAATATTCACAACCTCTTCCACATCGCAAGTGTTGCCTTTAAACGTCAAAGCATTGGATTTCTCGAATGTGGTCATACATTTCAAAAAGTTTGTGTTGCAATGTTGGCTTAGGTAGTCATCTGCACACCAACCAAACATTTGTATAACCTACCACTTTTTTCAGAAACAAATATGTAAAGAGAAAATAATTTAAATTATATAAACTATAACTGATCAATGAATAACAAAGAAAAATTGATGTGTATTACTAATAGAGTTTCACGCTTTCACCGTACAAAAATATGACTAGTTATGTTTTTGGACAAAAATATGACTAGTCACTATGTATGAGTAACTGGACAAGAGTCACTATAGTGTATATCAGAGTGAATTTAAAACAAGTCATATTTTTGTCTTTTGAAGTAATTTGGAAATATTCATGAACAAATGTCAATAAAAAAGTATTACATGCTATAGAAATAATCATTTCATAGTCAGCCAATATACATATATATATAAAAGAGGAACTTTTTAAGAGCATATAAAGCGCCACATAATCCTGCCATGTCATCCGACCATCATATATAACAATTATTTAGTTATCTTTATACCTTTTATTTTTATTAGATTCTATTTTTAATTGCATATTTATATAGAAACAAAATACTGTAAGATTGATATTTACCTTATTTGGTAACTTTTTCCAAACATATTACGTACTACGTATTTTATAACTACATTAAATTCGGTAGTTGGAACCATAACAATTAATAACCAACCATACACATAGACTATATTTTATACGGAGTACTTTTAATTACTTGTAGCATGCAGGAATAATTATTTTAGCATGCAATAAAAATTATTTGATTGCTTTTATACTTTTTATTTTTATTACATTCTATTTAAGAAATGATTTATCCATTTTTTGCCCACTTAACAGAAATAAGTCAAATTGTAATTAATTTTGTCTTCAAAAATATTTAATAAAAATAAAAAATTGTAATAATACCGTCGCATTTCCAAAAATGTACTCCGTAATATTTTATTTTTTTAAACTCACTATTGAGATCATGATTAAGATTCTAAGCCCCAACAATTGTTTTAATACTTCATATTTTTTTGGCATCTTCATACAATTCTTTCTTAATTTATTAACACAATGATGAAAATTATCACAACCAGATTGTTGAAATTAAAAACGAAATTAATACTATTAGACATTCAAATATAGAATCGTTTAAAAAGAATATTTCTGATCAAGTAGCTTACTTTTATTTAATAATGATGAATATTGATATCACACACGTACACATACACACACATATAGGGATTGATTCAAATAAAAAATGATCCCTGGGTGAAAAATAAGAATTAATCTAGACCCTTAAATTGATAAAATTGAAGGATCAGAACAAATTTTAAAGCAAAAATACGGTGGCAATATGCTAAATATGTACAACTTTTATTGGACTCGCTAAATTAAAAGTGCATTGGTGTGTTGAAAAAAATGCAATATTCATTATATGCTTGTGTGCGCGCGCGAGCACGCGCACGTGTATTATATATACACACAAGTAAATACGTTTAGCCTAACCAAAAACGTAAATATGTTTGGTTGTTTCTTTATTTTTACAACTACAATTTAAATATGTCTTCACTTTTGAAATAGATTCCTAATCCAAATTAGGAAATCTTTATATTTTTACAAGTTCCTAATTTTATTCAATACTTTTAGGATGTTTTTAAGTGGATTGATTTCAGTCCCAAACTAGATCTGTTCAAATCAAACTTT